GCTGGCTCTTGCCTGGGCTCTGCTGGCTTCTCCCCGAGCGTCTTGTTAGATGACACTCGGCCACCACTTGGGGAGGGGTCGCTGGTCGCTGACGCCATGGCGGCTCCTTTGAGGGCTGGGCCGGGAGCCTGGGGTTGTCCGGGCCCAGTTTTCTAGGGAAGATGGAGAGAGAGGACGGGAAGGGAGGGATCCGTCCTTGTTCCTGGTGCAATATGTTTTTTTTTTTTTGTTTTTTTTCTCCCTTTGTTGCCCAGGCTAGAGTGAGTGCCGTGGTGTCAGCCTAGCTCACAGCAACCTCAAACTCCTGGGCTCAAGCGATCCTCCTGCCTCAGCCTCCCAAGTAGCTGGGACTACAGGCATGTGCCACCATGCCCGGCTCATTTTTTTTATATATGTTTTTAGTTGGCCAATTAATTTCTTTCTATGTATAGTAGAGACGGGCGTCTCGCTCTTGCTCAGGCTGGTTTCGAACTCCTGACCTCGAGCCATCCTCCCGCCTCGGCCTCCCCAAGTGCTAGGATTACAGGCGTGAGCCACGGCGCCCGGCCCGTGGTGCAACCTCCTGCAGGGCCACAGTGCACGGGACAGAGCTGCCCGCCTGGACACTCCCGTCCTCGGACGTGTGACACGAAAGGAGGCCGTGTGTCCGGAGGCCCAGCTCGACCTTCTACAGACACCGTCAGAAGGGACTGTCTCATTTTCCTCCCCGAAGACCCGCTGGGACAAGAGGGACCAACGCCAGCCAGGTCGAATGGATGGAGAGAATCTTGAGTTTACTCTTATTTATTTATGTCCCGCCTGCACCTGGAAGAATTTAAAATAGAGATTAAATGACTTACTCGGTAGTAAATCCAAGGCAGAGCCCGGGATGAGCCTTCTAAGGCAGTGCTTTTTTAAAGAAACACTTTTTTTCTTCTGTCGACCCAAGGAAAGTACACATAAGAAGAGGGATTCACCACCACCACACAGTTTTAAGCAGAGAGGAATCTCTATGCTTTGTGATTCTACATAACTAGGATTGGAAGGAATCTTGCCCGACGCCTGCAGCCGGGCCCGGGCACTTCCTCACTGCCCAGATATTCAGAAACAGAGCTTTTCCGTGCGTGGTGTCTGCATCCTTTTTAAGAAAAATCTCCCTTCGGTCCAAACACAATCTGGAATTTTCTAAAGATCTCTCCTGCTGTCGCCTGTGGATGGAAACTGTGTGTAGCCCGTGAGCTCACAGATTTCACGTGTTCATTTTATCATACGGGTCTCCAAGGGAGACTTTTCCATAGGCTTCTGCGGTTACCTACTAACAGATTGATTTTGGGGGGGCATGATTACACCTCGTTGCGTGTTTTGGGGGTACCCGTCTCGAGCAGGGTGGCCTCTTTGCAGCGTGGAGGGGCGCTGGAGGGAGCGTTGAGGACGGGGCGGGGAGGAAAAATCCAGGGGACAGGGGGCGTCCCGGGGTGTCCAGGCGGGAAGGGTGTCGGCGGGCGGGTGGCCACCAGCCTGGTCCGTCCCCTGCACTGGTGGAGGGGGGTCTGCAGCTCTTCCTGGGGATGTTGCAGCATCTCAGACTCGGGAGGGACCCTGGCAGGCACCTAGTCCAGCCCCTCCAGGGGTGATCTCTTGGCTTCGGGGCAGTTCGGGCCTCCGGACAGGCTTGCTTCCACGTCCTCCTCCTCTGACTTGCCCGGGACGAGCTCACCCCGCGCTCTGGACTGAGCCCGGGTTTCTGTCCGTCGTGGGCATGGGAACACGGCGTGCAGGAGGCGGGGCTGCAGCCGCTGGCCGGTGCACGCCTGTGTGGACGCCCACCTTCCCCACCCCACCCCCAGCCATCTGGGGGTGCAGGGCTCTGCGTGGGCAGCCCAGGGACCGGCCAGTCAGGGGTTAATGGCAGCTGGTAGCTGTAGGAAGCAGCAGCAGCAGCGACTTCTGGTGGCCCCTCTGGGACCAGGGCGGGAGACCGTCCAGGGCTCTCCCAGCCAGCAGGGACAGGGCGGCTGCCGCCCGCCCGCCTTCCCGGGTGCACGCAAGGACAAGGCACAGCTGCGACCTTACAAGGTCATACGGAGCCTCGGGCTGCTGAGCCGGGGGAGGAGGGGGACTGCACTGCCCTTCATAGAGCAGCAAGCCCGTCACCACGGGGGAAAAACACCAGCACAGGAGCCAGCCGTCCCCCCGGGGGTCCTCAGCGCGCTATTTAAGGATCCCTGAGGATGCCGGCAGCTAACAGGCCTGGCTCTGCGACACGGGTCCCCTGCCCCACGCCCCGCCCTGCAGCCTGGCTGCTGGCGTGACCATCGATCTGAGTTACTGGGCACTGCCGCAGCTTGTCCATTGCTTCCTGGGCGTCATCTGTCCCTCAGTGGCATCTGTCCAGGTCGCCCGGGATGGGCTGTGTCCCCTCTCTCACATCCTTTGCAACAGCAGGACCAGTCCCCATCTCTGTCTGTCCTAGTGTCTCTTTGTCCATCTGCCTCTCTCACTTGTTTTCTAATGCAACAGACGTTTACTGAAAGCCCACTCGGCGCAAAAAATCACGTGGGGAGGGCGGGGAAGGCCAGGGGAACAGCTGTTCCGAGGAGCCCCCTCCCAAGCGTGGCGGAGAGAGGATTTACTCACCACCCACGTACTCAGGAAATGTTTATCAAGCGTCTCTTACGTGCCAGGCACCGCTGGGCATTGACTATGGAATACAGAATAATGGAATAGAGTACAGGGGCCGGGCGCGGTGGCTCACGCCTGTCATCCTAGCACTCTGGGAGGCCGAGGCGGGAGGATCGCTCAAGGTCAGGAGTTCGAGACCAGCCTGAGCAAGAGCGAGGCCCCGTCTCTATTAAAAATAGAAACAAATTAATCGGCCAACTGAAAATATATAGAAAAAAATCAGCCGGGCAGGGTCGCGCATGCCTGTAGTCCCAGCTACTCGGGAGGCTGAGGCAGGAGGATGGCTTGAGCCCAGGAGTTGGGGGCTGCTGTGAGCGAGGCTGACGCCACGGCACTCTAGCCCAGGCAACAGAGTGAGACTCTGTCTCAAACAAACAAAAAAGATAGAGTATAGGGCATTAAATATAGAATAGTAAAACAGAACATGCTCCTGCCCTGAGGGGCGTGGCGTGGACAAGGGCAGGACAGCCCAGGCACAGAGGAGAGTGACTGTTCATTCCCTGTATCCGGGCAGTGAAGGGAAGGTGGGGGTGGGCGGTGGGGCAGGCAGGGCTTGCTTGGGACAGAACGAGTGAGCCCAGCGCGTCAGGAGGAGAAGGGACAGCAGCAGCGGTGTGGGTGGCGAGGAAGGGCATTTCGGGGGAAGGGAACGGCAGATGCAAAGTCCCCTCGCTGGGAGGGAGCGTGCAGAGGCAATGGGGTGCCATAGCGGGCGGGCGGAGCCACCGTCTGTCTTCACGGCTGAGCTGGGCACGGCCTTACCCAGGAGGGACAGGTCAGGGGCCCCAGGTCAGGGGCCCCAGAAGGGACCGTGGTTCAGGGACAGGTGGGGAAAGAGTGTGGGGGCTTGTGCCGCGGGAGGCAGTCCTGCAAAAAGCAGGGTGTCGTTTAGGGAGGCCAGGTGCCCCGGGGAAATGAGACTTTAGAGTCTGCAGTGGGGGCTCGAACAGCAGGAAACAAAGCCAGAAAGTTCCACCGGGATCACTCATGATTATGGAGGATCTTGTATCCGAAAGGCATTTGAACTTTCCTGCTGAGGGCAGCAGGGAGCCGGTGGAGGATTTTTTTTTTTTTTTTTAAGAGCAGAAGGTTGAAAAATCTAACTCTGGCAGCAACGAGGGGACGTGCAGAGTCCTCCCCCAAAAGTGCAAGCCCTTTGTCGCTCCAGCTCCATTTTTGGGAATGCGTCCGAAGGCAAGAGCCCCGGGCAGAGGATGGCTGAATGACGAGCTCACAGCAGTGCTGCTCACACACTCAAGACATTAAGGCGGGGTGTGTGTGCACGCCCTGCAGCTGTTAGAGTGTGGCGAGCGTTTATCTGCCGAATGAAAACTGCGTACGATGCAGTACACGAAAACAACTCTGCAGCGAGGTCTACAGAGTATCTGCTCACGCTTCTTCTTTTTTTTAAGACAGAGTCTCACTCTGTAGCTCGGGCTAGAATGAGTGCTGTGGCGTCAGCCTAGCTCACAGCAACCTCAAACTTCTGGGCTCAAGCGATCCTCCTGCCTCAGCCTCCCAAGTAGCTGGGACTACAGGCATGCGCCCCATGCGCGGCTAATTTTTTCTATATATTTTTAGTTGGCCAATTAATTTCTTTGTAATTTTAGTAGAGACAGGGGTCTCGCTCTTGCTCAAGCTGGTCTCACACTCCTGACCTTGAGCAATCCGCCCGCCTCGGCCTCCCAGAGTGTTAGGATGACGGGAGTGAGCCACCGTGCCCGGCCTCCTGTATTATTATATTAAACACTTGTTCATATCTTGTATACAACTGTTGACATGTTTATACCATTTTTTGTTCCCAGTGAGGTGACAAGTTCCTTGACATTCAGCCAAGTTCCTTTTACTGCGCACGTAGGCATTGAACTTGAACCCTGAGATTGTTCGAGGAAGGCCAGATTCGCTTGGGACCACGTGACAAGAACAGGCTTTTATGAAACCCACGAAACCAGCATTAAGAAGTAAAATAGGACCATACTGATAGATGCAATTTTAAATGCAATTAGAGCAGAATGCGTGGCACTGCTTGTCCTCTTAGATACTGTTCAGACGAGAGAACGCATCTTGGTCGGACCCCAAACAACAATCCTCCAGGGGCAGCAGCAGCTTTTCTGCAGAGATGAACCAACGTGTATATGTGTGTGTGTGTGTGTGGACATGATAACTAATCGAGGATTGGAGGCCGCAACAACAGCAAACACCGCACGGGGCTGGGACTAGCAGGCATGCGCCAACCATGCCCGGCCTTCATTTG